TCATAAAGAATCGACCAAAGTTGCATTTGTACTTTCAAAACGAATTTAGTTTTTGTCGTAGGACGATCAAATATGAATGAATGATGATTTCACTGAATAGTTGAGTAGTGATAAAGAGATAAGGTGATTTAATAGAGCGATCGTTGAAGTGCGACAAAGTGGCTCAGAGAAGTCCATCAAGACACCTATAAACTAGCCTTTCTACCTTTGAATGCAATCAGTAACTGAGTGGTGCTGCTTATTGAAAATCAAATCAAAGAAAACTATTGGTGATGAATAAACGAACGAACCATTCGCTTGATGTGCCATGTTTTGGAGTGTTGAGATAAGTGGCATCGAAGAAACTCTCAGAAGGAGTCGTACGTGTTCTTCGTCTCTCTTGAGACTCACCGTATCTCGACTGCATTCACACCTTTCAACTTGTGATCGCATATCCACAATCCTTTGCTAACATCCACTCATTATTTCAAATGAAGACATATGCAACGATAATCGCTCATTATCATCGTAATTACCATTTTGCATGTACAATCCATTCCCGGTATCGCTTCGTTTTTAAACATTTGAAAAATTTCAGTTCAGGTTCAATAAAGATTTCGAACGATAACAAAGATGCATTTTGGTCGATTCTTTATGATAACTACTTCCAAAATCTGTCTCAAGAAACTATTCGTCTACATGTTCATTGGATGTGGATGTCATCTGTAATGATGACATTCCGACGAAAATGAAATTATGTTTAAAAAGTGTGTTTTGCATTATGCCAACATCATCGAGTATATTTGATGAGCGCATTCCACGACATGAATTTTGGTAGCATTCCGTGTGGTAATTGTGTTAATGCGTTATGAGCAGCCGTGTCTTTTTAAAATCATTTTTTGCAACAATTCAGATTGTCGTAATGACGATATCAAATTGCAATTTCACTGATAACGTCCAGCCAGCTTGAAACACTCACCCCTCTTTTCACTGATAAGCTATCAGTCATTTATTTGATCAATGACTACGGTTGTAAACATAATAGCAAAAAGCATCATTCGCCTATTCAATACGCCTATTTTCAATTATCGAATCAGTTCCTTTCGATCACAAATATTTCGACAGAATCCTGATTTTCAATTGTTACATGGAATACGCGAAGCTATTTGATTTTTGCTTGCGAAATCACGCTTAGGGGTATGCATCTGATGTCAGTAAATCAGACTCAAACTAGATCCGTTTCACTTCTCGTTCGAATTTTCATCAATTCAAATTTAGTACTGAACGGTTGAGATGTCGTATTTCTCATACCATTTTTCAGCAATAAGATCAATCACTTCAGTGTTAGAATTCTTTTATATAAGACGTGTTTCTTCAAATAAGACGTGCTGAATGTGAAAAGTATTTCATGAAGTAATTAGATTTTCAATTAAAGAAAAAACTGACTAAATTCTTTAAAAAATTGTTCCATTTTGTGAAACTCTAATAAGGAGATGATCACTTAGAACAAATTGATTTTATCATCACAACCGTCGTATAATTGCTGAACGAAGTCAGTAATCACTTCTTACTTTCTGTGACAGCTTTTAATATGAATATTGTTAGTATAATTAGCCATTCATGTGAGAATATTTCATGACATCACGCTTACCTATGCAAATATACGATATTATCATCAAGCAGTTGGGAAGGGCCATGCACTCGTGAAACGAGCTATGGTCAGTTTTGAGGCTTGACGATTTTAGAATTTTTCATTGAAACATTCTTTATTTATGGTTCGAACTTGATTGACGGTGAGCAAGATGAAAAATTGTCATAATGGACGAATGAGGAGTACCTTCGTGTGATGAATACTACCTATTAATCGCAGTACCTAATCTGCTGTTTTGTTCGATGACTGGTTTTGACCCTATTTATTCACTGATCGCTGTAATCATCTATTATATCACAAATTTTAAAGTGAAACTGAGTCTTTGTGGGGTATTCTTATGATTCGATCATCAGCACTTCTCATATTCATGATGGGAAATTATGCATAACAGAACTGAATGAAAGCGAATAATTTGGAATATGAATGCAAATCTCAGTAGTCTTCTATATCGTGCAAACATTAAATTATTCGCAAATAACGCATATTTATCATTATGAAGTAAGTCAATAAGAAGTTATTAATTGCTTATTCACAACTGAATGAACAAGTAAATGATTTATGAATGCACAAAGATCAAGTCAAAATCAATCGAAGCATTTATAACCTTTTGAGACGATGATGATGACGAAATAGAAATGATGAAATACGAAGTCAGAAACACTTCGAGAAGGTAGCGTATGGACATCTCATTTACCAGCTTTCTGTCTTTGGAACACCTGCAAATGTTTCACTTCTTGAATAAGTCTGATTCACTGTTTGGTCACTTGTGAGTTGTTGACATTAGCGACGGATATTTTACGAGTGAAGATCAATTTTGTGATATCTGTATAGCAAATGACTTTATTCTCATTCATAAATTTTCACTTTTGTGTATTATTGAATGTAATAAAAACATTTGGCAGCAATAAACAAACAATTTCACGAAAATCCTATGAACTGCCTTAACTTGAGCGGTTCTTGAAGTGGTTCTAAGCATCTGAAACCCATTACAAATTATGATTCTAATATTACACGATATCTAGACTTCAGGATATTCATTTAGGATTTTAAGGTTTGCTCTGCTTGGTCAAATATGGTTGATACTGAAATTAGATTTAATGACAACAACAATTCGATTTAAACCTGAAACTTTTTAAAAGACGGAACGTGAAAAAAGGATCAGTATAGAATGATGTACTGAGCAGTTGAATTACTCATAATTAATTTGGATTGTTTGCTTGGAATGAATGTTTTTGGCTTAACAGAGGTAAGCGGTGGAGGTGTGGCAGACTGGTGGGACGGGACGGAAAGGGAAGGGAACAAGAAGGGACGGACGTATTGTCGAGTGACACTTGCAGCTAAAGGCGCCATCGTGGGGCTTGCACGCAAGATGCGAAGTGAACTGGGATGATCAAAGCGTTTTCTCGCATTCCACTGCACTGATATCATTTCGCCTGCAATTTCAGTATTTATTTACATAACAACTGAACTCAACCTCACAACACTGTTTATTAGCTTTGAGCCTTACTCCACGAAATTTTCCTTACCAGTTAATATTTCACTTTGTCGAGAGCCGTAACTGAAAAATGAACGCATAACAGATTATCAGTTTTCGAATGTGATTCGAAGCGAGGGAATTATCGATGAGGTATTTGCTAATTTGAATCGGAACAACAGCAGTCACATTCAAAATGAGTGAAAGTTGAGTGACTGACTGGAATCGTTCGAATAGGCACTAATCAAATGAGCATCGTTAATCATTCATTATGACCATTTTCGGAGTTATCGTCTAATTACTCCACCCATCCCACATCAAAAACAACCAATATGCACACGTTAATTAGTGTGATCAGTGAATACATTAATAGCAAAATTATCAACCTATGGAACATGCATTTGTTTGGGTCGTTTCTTCACGAATCACACTCTTCATCCAATCATACACTACGATCATGGGAATATTTCAGAGATTTGCGAAAATTCGTGCCAGAAATATTTTGAAGACATTTTTTCATGATTTTTAGTTAGTAATGAGTAAGTGACAAAGCTGTTTCTCTCGTGCTGTTTGTATCCATATTATTTACATTCCATCTGTGAATAAAGGATCATGAGCAAGGTGAACTTTCTTATTCAAAGCAATTTAAGATATTTGAATCCGGAACGCAGATGATCTAATCGATCCATATTTCCGGCTACGTTCTGTTGTGGTTCGTGTCAATATAACTTGAGGAAGAACACAAAATAAACTCGAGTTTATCGAATCCTTTCATATCTTAATCATACACTATATACTTCTCTGACGATTCACGTACCATGCCCCGTGCTTCATCATAAAATCAGGAATATCTATCAGTTGTAGATTTGAACCTACAGTTGCCCTCAAAATGATAATCCTTAGAAGTTGGAAAGACTTAGTATCGTAATGCTTGTTTTCTGGACAAGTTCATTCGACCAACAACCTCCATCCACGCCATTCTGATAACTGAATCATTTATAGTGCTTGAAAAGTACTGCGTTTAATTAACATTCTTACTTAAGATAAATAATTTGTTTTGTTTGTAACATACGAATCCGATTCATTGAAAAGAAGATGCGAAACAAAAGAATATTTCATAAATTCAATGTCATCATTTAAAAACGAGGCGATAAGTTCAAAATACCGTTAATAACAATAATCAGCCACAAAGTTTTAACTCACTTGAAATGAGCATCGATATTCATCAACTCACCGCAATGCGATTGTGTGTAACAATACTCAAACAACACCAAAACCCATTGAAGTGTTTGTTTGCTGTTTTAATACGTAATCACAGTGCCCAATTTTTATGTGAATAGGTGAATAAGTACAGGAGAACATTCTCCGTCTGATCCATTATAAGATTGTTTGTACAGACTGATTAATTTGTGACCTTTCGTGCTCATTTCATATGATTCGACGTAATATCTATCAATATTCACTTGCAATCCTCTTTTGTTGTCACGCGATTCGCCAGAATAAATCAATTATAATTGCTGGGCTCAGCATAATTTTTGTTTGCCTGAATTCATCCATCCGTTAGCACTAGTACTGTTACTATAGTGTACATATTCGCAACTTATCAAGTCCTGCTCCAATCAGAAACAACTCTGAAACTGAACAAACCGTAAGATTATTTTTCAGCTCTGGTCGACTTTATTTTGATCATGTAGGCTAAAAATTTTCCATTCATCAATTGCGTCATCAA